TAGAACGATCGCTATTAGGATACTGTCCCTAGTATTACTAGTAACCGTTTTTCCGAACCAGACACATCACTAGAGGAGAACCACGCATACCTAGAGGCTGAATTTGAAGTATTCCTGCCCTACGAGGATGGGGATATGGTCAGTGCGGTGAGATTGTTGGGTGTTCTAAAAAACCGAGGAGTCCCGGCGTGGTCATTTTGCTTGAAATCGATTTCACCGAGATATAGCTATTATTCAACAATACCATTCTTTTCCGCATTCAGAATCTGACCCTGATTTCCTGATCAAGCGATCCTGATTTCCTGGCCAAAATTCCAAGGTATCTCCCTCCCTCTCTTTATCATAAGACCTGATAATTCAGTGAAGACGAACCCAGGATGGAAGATAGGCCCGACCTTCTTCGGCCAAAAATTCCAGCACACCACAATGCGTCGCGAGTTCCGGATCACTCAGGCTGGACACTCGGAACATCATCGGATATTCGATGTTTAGCCGAACCAATAAATCGAGTGCCGATGGCGGTAACAGAATCTGAAACTTATGCGGTAAAATACTCCTGGAAACAGCAAAATCGGCGAAGAGTCGGGAAGTTTCTATGAGATTTCAACTTCGAAATCCAAAAACTAATCCTTACAGGTCTTATGATAAAGTCAAATTTCCTTCTTTCCTTCCCCCCGTCCCCTTCCCCTTCCCACTCCCGCCTCTTAAATTTCAGCTATTAAGGATATCAAAATTCCGAGATATCCCCCCCTCCCCTCTCCCCTCTCTTTCAATACCCGAAACTAGTCCAAACAGTAGCAAATTCCAATAGCAATCGTATGTTGACGAATACAGTACGAAAGAACAGTATGATAATAAATAGCAATGCGCACCAGACTAGCCGGTGCGATCATGAGTTTTGTGCAATTCCGCCCATCGAAGCGTGGGCAGGGGGTCATTACCCTAAAATTTCAGCTTCCTAGACTCCGTGGTTCCCAAGATACTGATTTTACCCCAAAAACTTTTACGGGGCCGTACGTATTACCCGCGGGTATGGGAAGGCTGAATTTAAATTTGCCGCGTCACCCGTTGGCGAGGAACACTATAGCAAAATTTCAGCCGCCTAGCTCTTGTGGTTCCCGAATTGAAAGTGCGGGACAAAATGTGGGACACACACACATGCACACACACACACACATGCACACACACACACACACACACACAGACAAACCCGTGACAATATGCGTTTTGTAATGCTGTTACACAGCA